TAACTTGGATAGAAGTGGATATCCTAATCAACCACGCAACTAGGATAGTAAATTAGCGATCCATTACTCAAGTCGCTCTAGACATTAATCACATTCTCCGTCCTGTAGATTTCGTGATACCCCACTATTCAATAAGGTTCACGGAAGAACTAGATCTACAGATTACAGAACACGCGAGGTTGATACTAGTCCATAAGGGAATTAATAAAACTATAAATAAATTATGGAAACTGTGGCAAAAATATCATATTCAGCACTTATTAGAAAAGAATTAAGGAATACGTAGGCAAACCAAATATATAAATAAAAACCCACCACGAGAGGGGGAAATAATATCAATGTATAATAAAAATGCACCTAGAAATCAATGGCGCTTAGGAAAAATTTTCATATTAATATATAGTAGCGATAACCTATTTAGAGGAGCTCTAATTTAGCTGGCTAACGGTGAGCTAGTAACTCGACCAATTAATCATCTCTACTCTTTAGAAATACCTATACCAACCTCTTTAATTTCAAATAGAATGGATATAATTGATCTCGATCCCAGAATTGTGAGTCATCCGGCTGATCCTAATCTGCAACGAAAAGACGACAGCGATCTGGAGCCCAATTCCTCTCATCATCTCGATAGAAATCCTGGCCAAATCAACGACGCAGCGTCTATGAATAACGAGCCCAGAATGTCAACACCAGGCAATCCGTCTTCTATCGACCCAAGTCCTACAGCGACCAATAGAAACAGAAGAACTGTCTCACCAGCACATAGGCGAAATAACCTCGCTAAATTCGCTTTTATAGTGATTTTCTTCCTCATCCAGACGACCATGCCTGCAAAAGAGGACTTTACGCGATTTTATTGGTACACTTGAAATACGGCAGGAGCGTATCTGGCTATTCCTAAACTCGTCAAATGTATCATTCCCAGTTTCGTGAATGCAAATTCTATTGAAATTAACTTCTACGCAAGACGAATCATAGAAACAACAACCTATTCTCGCTATAATATATCGAGAGATATTCACAAGATCATTCTTCAAGCTGACACTAGGAGTTACAAAAGATGAAGCAAATAAACAGGCCATTTCGACACAGTTTCGTAAGCAATTAACGCAAACGAAACATTGGAGTCGAGTAGAACTCAGGCACTTTAGCAATAATAGCTGGGCAACCAGTAATCCAGTAAGATATAGTTTTGGATGGTGGAGTACGAAGTGCACGGCGACTTACAACTTACACCTTTAAAAGGAAAAATTGCTTTTACCGAGGATAACCATTTGATACCCACCCTTGTTAGTGCATTAGGATCTATACCCAACCGAGGAGAATGAGCAAAAAAGAAAAATACACTAATACAAAACCCTCAAAAGTTCATCCACACCTGTCACTACAAGCACCAAGGATTGAATAAAGCTAAACTTACTAACGATACAGTCTATATACGTAACCTACAGTTAGCCTTAAAATACAGAACGGACATAAATTACAAAGATTCACTAAATACTTTCCGTAAACAATAGGTTCACGTAAACAATACTATACCCTGAGCAACACACTTACCTGATATTCCTGAATCTGCAACACCATTCGATCCTAACAATCCCAAACCACAGCATCTTTACGATATGCTTCTGCGCCATGTAGAGGAAAGATTTACTTTCGCTTTAAAAGAGAGATGCCTCATTCATAACGACCTTCTCAAAGGCATTATTCACTACAAGCAAAATGACCCTTCTACTACGGCCAAGCTCCTTTTAAGAAGAGATAATTTGGTAGCAACAAAGGTGGGTGGAGTGCTACTAGTGGCACCCTGCAAAGAGATTAACCCGGAAATGATCGACTGGGATCATCAAGTGGACAATGTATACTACGAAAACTTACCTTTTCGCGTATTGGACAGGCCACTGTTCGCCTCTCCTTTTACAAGAATCTTAAAAGCACATTTGTTTAGAAAGGATTACCAGCAGAGAAGAAGATCGGTGTACAAAGAAGCAGCCATATGGACTAATGGACGTCACCAGGTTCCAGTTCAAGAAATCCATAACAACATGGAACTCCAGCTATACAAAGACCATATAGAGTTTATGGCCCAGGCTTACTATGACCCGAAAGTTGAGAAAGTTAAAAAAAACTGATTATCTTACAAACCGAATACGAATGAATAGATCAAGGGTAGTGCCCAACAAATCATGCCCTCTGTGTCTATACAAGACCAGCTAGACCAAGTTCTCTATAATACGGAAAGTACAATGCAAGATGCCGCCCACAAAGTAGAACGTTCTGTTAACGACGGGATATTCTTTTGGAAATATAAGTGGTTTTTTATTATTGGTACTCTTATTACTATTTTTCCAGCAGCTATATTCCATACTCCTACTGCAAGTCAAATATTTTATATTTCATTTGCAGTTATACGCAAACTAGTAATTCGTCCCATATTACTAATCAAACGGCTCCTCTGCTCATGTAATCGACTTGATCCACTTTCCGCTGTAAAGCATTTTTTATGAAACAAGCCATAGATAGCGATGATAATATAACTCTACAACCAGCTGAACCACTGAATAATGAAGCACCATTGGCTATACTTGACGGACCTCCAGAAGAAATGCAAGACAGCCCACCTGTCCCCCTCCGAAGGGCTGGTTCGTCGCAGCCTAAAAATCAAAGAACAAAAGCAAAACAAAACGTAAAAACAGCAGAAACCAGTGAAACCAGGAGAACGACAAGAAAAGCAAAGAATTTTGATTGAAAACAAAATTTAATCATTTGTATTATCATAATCACAATCTTAGCAAGTCATATTAGATAGTGTATTGAAACAACATCTCCTTTGTATCAAACAAAAATAAAATAAGAACAGTTACAAAAATCTATAAATTTTAAAGAAAGAAAAGAGAACATGTGTACATTGAATTTATACTGCACTCATCGATTACATAAATTTAAGATGCAATTGTAATTTGCAGAATTTTCAGTATTTATATCCATTATATCAACCCTTACTAACTAAATAAACTAGGCAGACTAACCAAAGAAAATCTCTGCTAACTTGAACTCTCTAATTAAATAATTTAAGTATTGTATATTAGCTAATTGTCAGTTGACTAGCTGTCCAAATGGTTTTTAGTCTAAGTGGCTTTAGTCTCAACGATCTCGCCAACTGTACATCAATAAATGTATACTGACTTCCAGAATCTAACAATACTACTACCTTATACCCACATTCTGGGTCATATTGGTTTTGTACAGTAACCTCTTTGACCTCTAGAAATGTTTCGTCTCTTTTTACTGAAGAACAAAGAGAAAAGAAATTTTGATTTTTGTCATCAGGAGTAGGGAGTCTTGATGGAAATGCCGTATTCAATGGTTGGATTCGATCTTCTTTAGTTTTACAAAACAATACATCATGTTTTTGTTTACTATAATAACAAGGTTTAAGATTTATTCTACATTGTTTTGTTTGGTGGTTTTTCCTCGAACATTTTAAGCAAAGTTTCAATCCCTGAGCCTTTTTTTTGCGTTTTTCTACTGTATCGTATTTGAGGCATTGTGTATCCCTATGATTCTCATTACAGAATACATAATTCCTCACTTGCTTTCTTACTACATCCTCCCCTTCTTTCCCCTGGTTATATTTACATTCAATACTTCCTTTTTATTATGATTCTTACTATCTTCTTCAACTTTTCCGGTTGTAAATGTAGTATTTACTTTATTATTTTTGAATGATTTATTTTCTCTACTTACTTTTGGTTGATTTCGCTCTTCTATTTGTAAAGCCTTATCATAATGCTTTAAATATTTTCTAGAAGCGTTTCTGAATTTAATAGTATCCCATTCGTAATCTTCCTCTTCCTATTCTTCAATTTTCATTAATACCCCTGTGGGTATCTTACCTTCTACAACTACTTTTATCGTATCTTGGTTAATATTTATCTTAAAACCTTCTAGTTGCTGTGAAATCTTATCAATCTTTTGTATTAATTTTATCGTTCCTTTTGACTCACTTATGGATATTCTGTTCAAATCAGTTAGTAAAATTCTTACTGCTTCACTAGGTTTATCAAATCGTTTTTCAAAGATAATTTTTAACTATTTCATAATTATTTGATGTAATCATATAAACCTCGACTAATTCTTTGGCTTCTCCCTGTAGACTTCTCATTAATTGCGTAAGTTTTTGTGTGTTATCCAAATTAACATTTTTGTCTACATATACTTCAAAGGCATTCTAAAACGAGAACCATTCAGTCAAGTTACCACTAAATTTAGGAACTGATAGAGAATGGAAGTAAAAGCTATCTTTTCCCTCTCCTGCGTATGTAAATTCTTGTAAATTTTCTTTACACTGTTCAATATTAGCTTCTAGAACAGCGATTTTTTCCGAGCCTTTCTTAACTACTCACTTCTTTGAAGATCCTTCATTAATGCACTTAATAATTCCACCTCAGAAGATTCTCCCGCGGAGGAATTTATCCATTTATCATAAATATTTTCTAATTGTTATAAACTATTTTTTAAGAGTTTTATCTGTATCCTTCCTTGATTGATATATACTTCATATTTTCTAACTAGTACTGATCTATCTTCTTCCTCACTTTGCTGTTGTAGCCCATTAATTTTCTCAAGACACTCTTCTAGGTTCTTAATTTCTTTTAAGTAAGATTCTCTCATAGTGTCGCTCATTTTGTTTTTTTTAAGTTTACTGTTTTTGTATTCTTTGAGCTACTTCTTAAGTACTATTTTATTTATTCAATTTTCTCATTTAGATTATCATAACTGATTTTTATTGTACGTCTCAGTTCTTTTATAATGACTAGAAGATTTTATAATATATTTTTTTTCTCAGTTATTTTTATGATAACTGATGGTTGGAGGAGAAGCAAAGAAAAGACAGGTGAGGAAGAAGAAAGTTACTTTGAGCAATAGGAGGGAATTAAGCAAGAGAGAGGGTTGGCAAAGGTTTGTATATGATTACCTGGCAGCTGGGTTAGTCCCGACGCACCATGTCACGAAAAAGGATTTTATTATGATTTTTGGTTGGATTGTATGAATGGTTGCCTGCCACATTCCCTTGTGGTGATCCAGTCGTGATTAGTATAATTTTATTAGAAGTCCTGTTAAGATACAGAATACTCGCAGAGAATTGAACCAATCAAATTGGGAGCTTGACAGAAGATAGTAATGGTAAACCAAGGTAGTTACAATAATAATGACAATAATATTATTAGTAATCCTTTTCAAAGTTTTCTACTTTCTTTTATACTATTCACTG